TTCTTTTTAATTTTATAGACCAGTTTAGGGAATGTTAAGAAACGTTTTCTCGAACCGTCACAATTTTTAATATATAGAATTCAAATCAAGAGGTCCCCGGTTCGATTCCCGGCGCTACCAGATTTTCGGAGAAGTAGTGGTTCTGGAACAGGGTCCACTCAGCCTCGTGAGGATAATTGAGGAGCTATTTCAAGGAAATAGCAGCTCCAGTCTAGAAAACCGAGATTAACGGCCGTGGGGATCCGTTGCTCTGACCACATGACAACCTCTAGCAGCAAAAGTTGTCACTAACGTCGCCGACAAGCGGCGGTCGCTCGGTCGATATAGTTTGCTTGAGGACTACAGGCCAGGAAGTATAGTTAAAGGGTATTTTCCATCGAATAAGACAATTCTTTTTTTGTCTTGAATGAACCTTTACATATTTCGGCCGGTATCGGCCATCACCAGAAATCTACCAACAATTCATAAGAATGGCATGAATACATTGAAGTGTTTATCGCCTTCTAATGATGACCGATATCGGCCGAAACACATTAAGTTTCTATTCATAATAAAAATTTTGTCGAATTCGATAGAACTTACTCTCTATTCATAAGAAATATAAGTTTATAAACCAATGAGAGAACGCAATGTAACTCATGGGTTGGCATGCTGGGCTCGTTTGTTGCTTACTGCCTTATCGACAGAGCCCTCTTTACCTTAGCATTTTCCGTTAGCTCCTAATGATCGTCGGAGTGAGAGCAGTGTCATGTCCGTCATTACAAATGGCTAAACAATCGGCAAACGTTGTGTTGTGATCTGCGTGAAATGTGAAGCGAATTTTCGCATTCTGTTTCGTCTCGAATCATTTAACAGCAGTTCCCTAAATGTTAGAGTAGCAGCGAAATTTTTGTTCTGCTTCAGTTCCTCGCTCTTCGGCCTGTGCTGCTGTTTCGTCTTTACATTTCTTTCTGCAGTTATAACAACGTTAGTTACGTAATAACAGTTTCCAAAGTGTTATAACAGCAGTGAATTACATAATGCATGAAGTAGTAATCTTAGGCATATGAATTACAGATATATAATTCGAATTTTCTGCCCAACAAATGTACGGCTAAAAAAAACTGTGCTTAAGAAATAGGTTATTTACAAATAAGTTGGTTGAGGCACTCTGCTACAAGCCGGAAGGTCGGGGGTTCGATTCCCGTTGAGGTCATTGGCTTTTTCAGTTGGCTTGATCTTCCCAGCCGTACTATGGCCCTGGGGTCGACTCAGCCTCTACGAGAAATGAGTACCAGGAAGGAAGGGCGGCCGGCTGGCAACCTAAACGCCATCTGTGAGCCGAATGTCTAGAAAATGTGGGAGCCTCGACGTCTCACAAGCCTATGGTTCTTCACGGCCTGTTACAGGGATAGCTTTACACTTTATAATAATTCAATTCAATTCTTTATTATCTATGTCCTGAGCTAACAGCATCAAGGCCAATTACTGACATAGCACAGTGTAGGTAAAAGTAGTTACATACCGGACAAACACAACATAAAGTCAAAGACTAATTAAAGACAAGCACTAGAGAAAAACACATTAATGCATATAAGAAAAAAAAAAGACAGTAATAATAATAATAATAATAATTTAATTATTACAAGACTAATTTGCTATTGACATTTGTGAAATATAAGGTATAGATATTTAGAAATAATAATAATAATGTATGTAACATTTATAACAGAAAGCCATACAAATTATTCCCTTAACTAGGTTTCCACTGTACGAGAACCTACACCGATCCAAGTACGTCAGGGCACGAGCTAAGTTGCATTTTATTCTTATATTATAATTTGCCATCATCTAAATAAGACATTAGCAATAAAAATAGTAGTAGGGCTGGTTATCCTTAATATTAAATAAGAATTCTAACAACTCCTTGTTAATGACCATGTTTTTGTGGTGCTTTTTATACCTGTATACCTTTCTTACAGGTATATGAAGTATTTTGAAAAAATTATGTAGCGTAATGCTTTTTACAAAGAATTATATAAACGATAAACTTACAGAAATATGTGGGATTTGAATTTCTCACGCGGTGGTTATGAAGAGTCGTATCTTCTGTGATATAACGCCACTGTTCCATGAAAGTCAACCGACATTTCGGAACATCATGTCGCCTCAATCTTTAAGGTTGAAGAAAAAACAAAATTTGCTGCCTGATTCATGCTGGTATCTTGCTTGGCTTACATTTCAATTCTGAAGATGAAAATATGTTTCTCCGAAACGTCCGTTGACTTTCAACTGACTATATGGTGTTATATTCCAGAAGACAGAACTCTTGATAACGGACTATGATCAGGAATAAATTAACATCAGCATATTTTGTTCGTTGTCTAAATAGCCTAATGCAACTCTACATGTACAACTTCATAAAAATACACTGCTTGATTTGTTGCTACGAGATACTGGGCTACATTCACAGTGCTTCACCACAAGGGAAACGTCGAGAAACACAGCCGTGAAATGTTACAAGAAGATTCAGGCTGCATACAAATTTATTTCCTTTCTCAGAACAAAGTACGGAATGAAAGAGCATCTAGATTGACGTCACGCGCGAGAAAAGATGGGAAACTAAACTTGTCTAAGGTTTACCTACTGAGCCGGCGTCGGCAAGTGCCCCCTTGGGCTTCATTGTCTGCGTCGATGTTTCTTCACAACATTCGAAACTCATCTAAAATATTCCATTTCTTATTTCGACTTTATGATTTTGAAAATTCAACTTCGAGAGGTAATGAAGAGAAATGACGTCAGTCATTTTGTTTTTACAAGGGAAACCTTTTTCTGTTGTCCTTCTCAGCTTCCGGGAAGAGAGAAACTTCAAATTCTATATTTTCTTAAGAAGTCATATAACAGAGCAGAGCGGTTTCCCGGCTTCTTGTTTCAAGTTAAAAGAGTTTTTACGCCTGTTGGTTGGCTGACTGGATTCGTACAAAAGCACAATGACTAATCAACTAACTCATTTGATTAGAGCCTCTTCTTAGAAGTTAATAGTAACTCAACAAAACAAAAATTTCCGCTCCCTTTATGGAACAAAAGGTTCATCGCCGAATTCACATCAGTCCGCTACTAGTAACTCTTACGAACCATATAAACCCAATCTGCACCATCACAAAGTATCTCTTCGAAATGCATTACGATGTTTGTTTTTTCCAACTAATCTTGGGATTTTCAAGTTTTCCGACTAAAATTCTACTTGTACACAGTGTCGGCCTATCTCATCTTTGCATGCTTAGGGCCTACCATTGTCTTGCCCAGCTCATGGCGAAGGAAAAATCAGCACATTATATGATATTTCATTCTGAAACCAAAGCATAAATATTTTACAGTGTACATACAATTTACTTAATGTGTTGGATCTTTTGGTGTTGCTCTTAATTCTGTTGCTGCTGTTGTTGTTGCTACTACTTCTGTTGCTGTTAGTGTTGTTGCTATTGTCGCTGTTACTATGCTTCTCTTGTTTCTGTTGCTGCTACTTCTTTTGTTGCTGTTGTTGCTGTTGTCGCTATCGCTATTATTGGTGTTGTTGCTGCTACTGCTGTTGCTGTTTGTTGTTGTTACTACTTCTTCTGTTGCTGCNAATCAGCACATTATATGATATTTCATTCTGAAACCAAAGCATAAATGTTTACAGTGTACACACAATTTACTTAATGTGTTGGATCTTTTGGTGTTGCTTTTAATTCTGTTGCTGCTGTTGTTGTTACTACTACTTCTGTTGCTGTTAGTGTTGTTGCTATTGTCGCTGTTACTATGCTTCTCTTGTTGCTGCTACTTCTTTTGTTGCTGTTGTTGCTGTTGTCGCTATCGCTATTATTGGTGTTGTTGCTGCTACTGCTGTTGCTGTTTGTTGTTGTTACTACTACTTCTGTTGCTGTTTGTTGTTGTTACTACTTCTTCTGTTGCTATTGTCGCTGTTACTATGCTTCTCTTGTTGCTGCTACTTCTTTTGTTGCTGTTGTTTCTGTTGTCGCTCTCGCTATTGTTGGTGTTGTTGCTGCTACTTCTGTTGTTGTTTCTGTTGTTGCTGTCGTTGCTGTTGCTACTGCTTCTGTTGTTGCTGCTGTTGATCCTGGTGCCGACGCTAGCGACAGTGCCATACGATCTTACATAAGGACTCTTGTTGAAGTCCCGGGTCGAAATGCATTCGCTTTGTACCACTTTCTGTTCCGTCATATCCCAATTGCTGATCTCAGGGTTGTCCAGCATGTACGTACTCTGCGTAATACTCATGCTTTTCAGTATCATTGTGCTAAAAGGAGAAAATACACGTAGTAAAGCAGACAGGAAAGTGAATCAATCTAATTCGAGGTGGTGAAAACTAACAGATTTAGCTCCACTCTCCCTTTAGGCATTTAGTATATTTTGCTAGACATAGCTCTATGATTGATGTTCTCTACTTGCGTCTTTAAAGCACAGTTGTCAACTGATCATGTGATCATCACACAGAAGATTATGACAGACACGAGGAGAATTGCAGGGTTTAAAAATATTATTCAGATTCTATCTATTTTCTGTGGGATTTGGAACACATTCCCAACTTTATTTATGCTAGAATCGAGTTATTTAACTTTTAATTTATGCGATTGATTAATCCAAAACAGACCACTTATAAGCTATCACATTTGATTTCACTTATCATATACGTGTAGAAAGAGCAGCTTGTCTTAGACGGTGGGGTTTCTGAATTTTATTCCTGACGCAGACTATCATGACAAGGTTTTCTTCTTTCTGCGCTGTCCCCACCCCCAATCTCATGCTGAGATAATATCTTGAAATCAGCCACGACCAATTCATTCCATGTTTTTTTTTACCAATTAATGATTCATCAATCATCCTAGGTAATATTTGTAACTCATTTTGTGTGTTTTGTTTATTGCATTCTTTCTATGAACAATATATTTGTTATATATTATGTTCTGAATTACTTTTTAAACTCTTTGTAATTTGTTTCGTTTTGTCCATGTCTGCAGCGGGCGAAACGTGCCAAAACATTCACAAATCGTAGCCACTTGCACGACGCTGAGTTTGCATTACGCTCAGACAAGGTGCCCAGGGACCCAGTTCCGCCATGCTGATCCGGTGAGTCACTTGCTCAACATCTGTAACATCTGAGAGGCTATACAATTTATTGGTTGCACTGACGTTGGCGTGACCTAGAACATGCCAGTGACTTTCTGTTCTGAGTTCTTTACATCGAAATGTTTCTTGCCAATATAAAGTATTTCGTTAAATATATATATATATATTGAAATTTGAGAGAGTCACAATATTGTNGTGTACCGCGGGTTGCTAGGCAGCACGGGTAAATAGGATTGCGAGAGACGACGGTGGTAACAGCGGTTACTACCGCTAGCGTTACTAGCAACACAGCGCCAGGCAACAAGGATACTTATTACGTGGCCGTTTTCTGTATTGTCCGATCAAGGCTACATGAGGGGCAGCGAAGGCTATTCACAGTGAGTCCTGGAGCTACCTACGAGTCAGTCCTCGAGCTACGTTAGTTCCGAGTTAGCCAGCAACCAGTCAGTTGTATTGTGGCATTTGTGATACTGCAGATAGCAGTAATCGTAAATCTGTAATTTGGGTGATTGTAAGTGCGAATGTGAAATAAAATTCGCTACATCAAATACATCTTGAAGTTATTTGTCGCGTTATACGCCCAATACGCGACAATATATTGAAATTTGAGAGAGTCACAATATTGTGTCGTATCGACCCATTGCTAGGCAACGGCTCGGTAAACACGTTCCCGCAGAAAGAGATTCTTGGTAAATAACCCGTTGCTAGGTAATGCGTACAAAAATACGTGACAATGCAGGACACGCATTGCTCGGCAACGGATGTGTTTTCTGTGCTGTGGCCCGACCCGAAGCTTCTATAACTAGAAGCCACAATAATTGGCAGTTCAGGTAGGTGAACCCGTGTGGAGGTGGGGTCAGTTACTTCCACCGTGACTCTGCGAGTCGTAGGAGGCCACGAAAAGAGAAGTCTCAACTCTGAGACAGTAAATTACGGTCGTGAGTCCCAAGGGACTGGGGCCCGAGAAAGACTACGCTGGCAAGCACCAGCAGCATATAAAAAGACAGACCCATCTTCTCGTTAGAGAGGGCGCCCCACAGAAACAAGACCGTAAGTGCCAAACAGTAATAAATATCTGGTCATGAGCCCAGATGGGGCTCCTCACCAAGATTAACTTACGGACTGTCCGTCAGTCGCAAAGTGATTTTAACTTTGACTTCACAGTTCAGTTGGAAGCCGTAGAGTGTCCAGTCGGAAGAAGATGAAAGTATGTCAGATAGTGATTTGTGAACTGTTGTATCCAGTTGGATAAAGTTCCAATAAATTCAATCATCAAATCCAAAGTCCATTTTATCAGTAACGCAAACTCCCCACACGTGACAATATTATATAGAGAAATTATGATAAAACATAGGAATGCCTAAAATATTCAGATCAGTTTCTTAGTAATTACAATGTACACGTGTATATATATATATACACACACACACACAATATTGTCACGTATCCGGAGTTTGTGTGAATAATAATAACGGAATTTCGGAATGTATGATTGGATTTATTAACACATTCTTGTATAATCACGCGTAATCACAATAGATTACAATGACTCACAGTGAAACTTCAGTCGAACTCTTCTTCCTTGACTGCCAAAGACTCGCCCAATTCTCGTTCTGATGTGATTGTGTTCTGTACTACTTATATAATATAAAGGCGGACACATAGAAAACACCGCTTCCTCTGTTGTTGTGTTTACAGCTCCGTTGCATAGAAATGGATGTTATCCGATTGTTGCCTGCGTATTCGTCGTGGCGGGAATGTGTTTACCGAGTCGTGCCCAGCAACAGGTCTACATGTCACAATGTGCAGGCTATGCACACCTTTGGATTTATCTTCAGGCTATATCCGAGTAATGCTGCAAGACTTCCTGATGTACTGATGGCGCTGATGTCAAATAATGTCCCTCCACTGCTTTGAATGACACACTTTCATTGTAACTACGTCTAGAATCCCCAAATTGGATCGTAGTTTCATAAGCTGGGTTGTTCCTGAGCCATGCATTCCAGAGAAGACAATGATTTGCAATGCTAAGAACTTGGGTCGCCTAATTAGCAGGCTTCGTGTGCTACACCACTTGAATTACTCTATACTCGGTTCCTCGGTGTTTGAGAGATGGAGCAAACAGCTTGAAGAAGTAGGGCATGACAGAGAGAACCTCCAAAAGCGAAACTGCACAGAGTTTCTCAGCTTAAACGAGAAACCGATGCAATCCATTATTCATAAATACCATATGAATTTGCTGTAGGCTTTGGACGTCAAAATAAATATTCCAAGATACCTGCTCAGCATGGATAAGCACGTTACCCACGGAAACGAATTTTATTGGCCTGTCGTTCCACGTGACAGTGGATGTCGAATACGATACCTCGAAGGCAGGAATTAAAGAATGAATCAATTTTACTGTGTATATTAATTTCTATATTACCTTCCTTCCATTTTATTTTTTTTTCTTACTGGTGAACTACTTCTGTATGGGCAGCTAGTGTTTGACAACGAGGCCAATGTTTTCATAGCTGGTAGTAACATTATTAAGACGCGTTTGTGGCCTTGTCTCTTAGTGAAGAAAGGAAGGGGTGAACATGTATTCAGATTCACAAATGTAGGAGAACAGAGGATAGGTCCAGTCTGAACACTTTCTCTCTCCTGTTCTTTCATTGTGTTTGTTCGTTTGCTTGTTTGTTTCTTTTTTCTTTGTTTCTTCTTTCCTTGCTTCTTTTCTTTCTTCCTTCCATCCTTTCGTTCCGTTAGGCTGTTTCTTTATATTGACAGTTTGCATTCACGTTTACCTTTCTTGCCGTTAGTCCCGGTTATATTCTCGCTTGTTCAAGGTACACAAGGTCCTTTGAGAGTGATTCGAAAATCCAAAGAGCTGAGGAAAGGCACATTTCTCCCTCATGAATTAATATGTCCCGGTTACCTACATTGCATTTCGATAGAACTCACCTCAAGAAATTCCACAATATTTCAGTTTTGTGGGACAGGGAAGTGTGAATCTTGGGGTGGGCAAAGTGGGCGAGAGACCACGCTTTGCCTCATTTTTTTTTGTGTATCCATCACATGTCGCTAGCGCGTAAGGGTTTGTAAAGAACACTAATGAGTAAATTATGATTCCTCTTGGAATGTGTCGCCCTGTCGCCTGATATGCTGTTACAGATATTTAGGAAGAACATAGTACTGATTCTAACTTCAGACGTTCTTCTGAATCTTCGCTAGGAACCTATAAGACTACATGGTGCCGCATCTCAGAAAAATGTGACTGTATTACGTTTGTCAGACATAACCTCAAAGATCCGCTCCGTCGTCGTAACACTAATTGCTAATAACCGAATCACCCGTCACACAAGATTTGTAGATACGTTTATTAACTATTTAACTTGCGTAGTTCCAATAATTCATTAGCTATCGCCTACAAACTTTTGACAAAATATATTTTACATTTCTGCCTGTATCCAAGTTCTTATTTTGTATTCTACAATAGACATTATCATAGTACAATATTTTCATGATATATTACAGCACAGAATTCCAAAATACAATAGTCAAACTTCGCAAGGCCCACCATGACAATACTATTTATTCATTGTAGTGCATGAGAAGTCACCTCTAGATGTTTATTCGAAATTTTCATGATAATACATCAGGTATTTAAAATTATTAGAATATGATACAGTAAATCAGTGTTTTGTTATTAAGTACGGAAAGGTGGCTGAAGTGTGTACTGATATAATGAGAAGTTATCTTGTTTTGAAGCAATTGCTTTTATAAACAACTTACGTCCCTTATTTCAGTTTTTTTTCTCAGTTCACTGTTATTTCCCTGCACATCAATATACAGTCTTCTTGCAAACGAATTGTCGCTGCAAGCACGAGCCTCCCTACTTTGTTTTCGTGATATTCTTTAGCTACATATGAATGCTGCACGCCGCTTCTAACTCAGACCTACTCAACTCTCTACTTCCACATTTTTGTTCAGACGTAGTCGGTCTGAAACTCTATGGTCGGTAATATGGGCTACTTGGTTGAAGAAGAGCTAGCAGCTGCCTGGAGGGGGCGAAGTCAAGAAGCTTTCAGAGAGAGGCCAGCGCAACTGGCATGTGACCTGCGATCCTGGTCTCGGTCCGCACGAGAATAGTACTTAAGTGTGAGCAGTTCATGGCAGAGAAGGCTGACCATATGACAGAGACACTAGAGAAAAGAAGTATACTTTTTGGTCAGATACAGAGTGGCTCCACAGTTTCAAATGTGATGTTCGGAACAAAATTATGGAAACGAATATCTGTATACCAAAAACTGAGTAATGATGAAATGCTGCTGTGGGCAATTTGTAATTTGAGGATTTCTGTCTTTTGGGATATAACACCCCGTAGTCTTATGAAAGTCAACTGATATTTTTCTCTTCTATATTCAGGGTCGAAGAGTAAGCCATTTTGAACATGTTATAGTGGTGTAAGCCCAGGATATATATTGTCGTGTTCAACATTTAGCTGTCAATTCTTGTTGAAGTGAACGTGTGTATGCTAATAATAACAAATATTCCCATAACTCCGTAACCGCTAAGAATCGGGCGAATGTTTATATACAGTACCTCAGTCAGAATGAACCCCGGAAGGTCCTCATGATGTGACGGCATAAATTAGTTAAACACCCTGTATAACTTTAAATAATTTGGATGACAGTGAATAATGATTTGGAAAGGATGTGGACAAAAGCATCCGTGGCCTAATTTAAGCTATTTCACCGGCATTTTCCTCAAGGAACGGATCATAGTCATGATAGTATTCCGTCAGAGATTCGAATCAGCAACCTGTCCAATACAAGTCAGAAGCGTTAAAATTTGAAAGAAAAATGTCAATGTTACATTATCAAGTCAGTCTATTTATTACGAAATTTCTTTCTCTCATTGCTGCTTTATCAGCAACACTCTTTCCTCAAGGAAAGATAAACTCATGAGACCGACCTGGCGATTGCGTGTCCTCGTGTCCTCTCCTTTCATTTCAACTT